ATAATGCTTCATATCAACCTAATAAATAACATTGGCAGATTTTATCTTCTTTGATAATATTTTTAATAGTATTTTTGAATACTTTTGAATAATACAGTAAATAGCCTTAAACAAACCACTCAAGCCAAGACAAGAAATTTGACTATTACTCACGTGGTCGTCATGCTCCTAAAGCATAGATGCAACCAGAGGGCTCGTGAAGTTGGAAGAATATTACAGTCAGCTGGAGTGTGTCCATTCTGAGGCGTACAGAGCAGAGCAGATGATAAAAGAGGAGACATTATTCCATTTATCCTTGATTTACATCCTTCATTTAGTCAGGCATTTAGGCAATCATTATTTGAAGTCTATTTCATTTTTCTTTTTTTTTTTTTTAGATTTTATTTATTTATTTGACAGAGAGACACAGTGAGAGAACACAAGCAGGGGGAGTGGGAGAGGAAGCAGGGAGCCCAATGCGGGGCTCGATCCCAGGACCTTGGGATCATGACCTGAGCCGAAGGCAGACACTTAACGACTGAGCCACCCAGGCACCCCTATATCATTTTTGTCTTAAGAAAATGAACCTACTTTGAACTTTGCACTGACCCAGATCATAAACATTATCTATAATTTGTCCTCCAAAAAGGTTACATTCAGGTACCATTTATTTCTCTTTGGACTTCAGTGTTTTCAAAATATATTAATAGTATGTCTTGTCTCCCACATATTTTTTAAATTGGACATGGCTTCTACAATTCAGCTTTTTGAAAAACTTATTTCCACAGTGATATTTCAATGATCCAATTTTAACAAAGAATATAAATGTATGACGAGAAAGATCACATTTCTTTTGTGTTGGGCCTCAGATGTCCAGCCACGTATTCATCACATACGACTCATACGCCACCAGTGGTCATCATCGATCCAATACTGTCCTTTTATTTCATCATTCATTTCTATTTATTGATTAAAACATTAATTCATTAATAATAACTTTCTGAATGCTATGATAAACAAAACCCTAGAAGAGCCTTTGTATCCCTAACCTACACATAGATTATTCTTATATCAATGCATCTCTTTTATTGATTATCCTCAGTTTTCTACCCATGGATTAATCAATGTTTCATATATTCCATATTTATCACTGAGATACAGTTGCCTTTTTAAATTATATTTCACACTTTTTAATAATACAGTGAACTACCTTTAAAAAAACACATGGAGTGGGGCCTGAGCAGCTCAGTTGGTTAAGCATCTGACTCTTGATCTTGGCTTAGGTCTTGACCTCAGGGTTTTGAGTTCAAGCCCCATGTTGGTCTCCACACTGGGCGTGGAACCCACTTAAAAAAAAACACACAAAACACATGGAAACCAAGAAAGGAATTTTAACTATTTCTCACATTAACCTCTGTCCTCTTCTTATATAGAGGTAACCAGGAGCTCACGACCGTAGAAGATGCTTTAATCAGCTCCAGTGCATCCATCCTGAGGGAGACAGAGCAGAGCAAGTGAGAGAAAAAAACTGAGACTTAATTGCCATTGATCCTTGCTCCCCATATTTCATATAGTCAGTATTTCTTTTTTTTTAATATGTATATATTTTTATATTACAAAAGGAAAAACTCAATTTCACTACCAAAATGGATAAAATTCACTCTTCCTTATCAGAGTATATGTGACCTCAAAGAAGTGAGAACTTTGTCCATTTATCTCTTAATGGGTATCACCGTTTTCAATGGTTATTACTAATATCTCTTGCCTCACCACAAACTTTAATTGTTAGACAATATTCCGCCCTCTTTTTCTTTACATATTTATTTGTATTTGTTTAATAGTTCCATCATTATTCTATTAATAACAACAAATCTATGTCCATAAAATCACTATGAGAATATGATCATTTTACATTCCAGACATTTCTTCACTGAAACAGTTCCAAAAGAGGGAACAGACTAATTAATTTCCATGTTTGCCTCAGAGTTCCAGATTCATACATGAGCAGTCACATTTGGGCCTCATTATAGTCATTAACGTCTACATGATTTTATTGACTAATTCATCAATTAACTAATAACAATAAAATAAATGCTTAGAGACCACAAAAACTTGAAATAAGAGCTTTAAATATCTCCAACATTTGTCTTTAGAATGACTTCCTACTGACATATCTTTCATTAATTAACCAAAATGCTTCCTATATAGATTAATTAATATAACGCTTCATATTAGCCTCAAATTTACTATCTGGCTATGGTTTTGATCCTTAACTTTCTATCACATTATTAATCATGCACCTAAAATCTTTTTTTATTATTTTTTTATTTTTTTATACATATATTTTTATTTTTATTTTTATTTTTTTATTCTTATGTTAATCCCCATACATTACATCATTTGTTTTAGATGTAGTGTTCCATGATTCATTATTTGTGCATAACACCCAGTGCTCCATGCAGAATGTGCCCTCCTCAATACCCATCACCAGGCTAACCCATCCTCCCACCCCCCTCCCCTCTAGAACTCTCAGTTTGTTTTTCAGAGTCCATCATCTCTCATGGTTCGTCTACCCCTCTGATTTCCCCCCCTTCACTCTTCCCCTCCTGCTACATTCTTCCCCTCCTGCTACCTTCTTCTTCTTCTTTTTTTTTTTTTCTTAACATATATTGCATTATTTGTTTCAGAGGTACAGATCTGAGATTCAACAGTCTTGCACAATTCACAGCACTTACCAGAGCACATACCCTCCCCAGTGTCTATCACCCAGCCACCCCATCCCTCCCATCCCCCACCACTCCAGCAACCCTTGGTTTCCTGAAATTAAGAATTCCTCATATCAGTGAGGTCATATGATACATGTCTTTCTCTGTTTGACTTATTTCGCTCAACATAATACCCTCCAGTTCCATCCACGTCGTTGCAAATGGCAAGATCTCATTCCTTTTGATGGCTGCATAATATTCCATTGTATATATATACCACATCTTCTTTATCCATTCATCTGTCGATGGACATCTTGGCTCTTTCCACAGTTTGGCTATTGTGGACATTGCTGCTATAAACATCGGGGTGCACGTACCCTTTCGGATGCCACTTTTGTATCTTTGGGGTAAATACCCAGTAGTGCAATTGCTGTACCGCAAAATCAAGGAAAGAATTTTGACTATTACACACATTGTTCTCCATGCTCTTAGTACATAGATGCAACCACAGAGCTCGTGACTATGGTGGAATGTCTACCTCAGCGGAGGGTGACCATTCTAAGGAGTACAAGACAGAGCAGATGATAAAAAAAAATTAAGACCTTATGATCATTGGTCCCTGCATTCCACCTTTCATTCAGTCCATCCTTAATAAGCAATGAATTGGGATAATGTGTATTTTATTTTTCTTAATAAAATAAACAGTATCAATCTTGTAGCTGAGAAACAGCATGAACACTGACGGTTACTCAAAGAATAACACCATTATATCGTATATTTCCTAATAGATATTTGTTTTCAAAATATACTAACAGTATTTCTTGTCTAACCACATATTTTTGTAACTGGACAATATTTCACCCACTTTGTACTTCTTTCTTTCTTTCTTTCTTTCTTTCTTTCTTTCTTTCTTTTCTTATTTCATTGATCCAATTTTAAAAAATAGAATGTATCAACATAAAAGACCAAAAACAAGATTATAGATTATAGATTTATTTATAAATCATTTATCCAAATATAATAATAGAATAAAAATGCATGAACACAACACTAAAAACAAGATCCTCACATATTCCTGACATCTATATATAAGATCTCATCAAATGATGGGAATAGGCTACATTTTTTTGTGTGTTGGACCTCAGAGTTGCAGACAGTATTCATCATATATGATTCATACGCCACCAGCAGTCATCACTGATCCAATATTGTCCCTCTTTTCCTTCCTTCAGTTCTACATTGTTTATTGACTAACTCGTTAATTCACTAACAATAATTTAAAACCCTAGTATTCAGAATAATGCAAGAGTCACGATACCCCTAAGCTGTGTATAGAATCATTCTTATATCGATATATCTCTTTCATTAATTATCTTAAATTTCATCTGTGATATAATAAGAGTCTCATGCTCTACTGGCTGCTAGCTAGGCTGTGATATAATAAAAAAATAAAATAAAATAAAAAATAAAATGTGAAAAAAATTATCTTAAATTTCATGCATGTAATAATCAATATAATGTTTCATAGGAATTCAATAGTTGTCACCAGGCCACAGTTGGCTACCTTTGACTCTATATAGCACTTTTAAAAATATACCAAATATCCTTAAAAAAAACATAGCTGAAACCAAGACAAGAACTTGACTACTACTCACATCGGTCTCTGTTTCTAACATACAGACGCAATCGTGGAGCTCACCACCATAAAACAATGCTTAGTCAGCTTAGTGTGTCTGTTCAGAGAAGTACAGTCAATGAAAAAAAAAGAAAGTTAAGACCTTATCTCCACTGATCCTTGCTTTTCATATTTCATTTACTCACTACTTTCATGATATTAATATATTTTTCTCTTAACAAAAGGAACAACCTCAAACTTGACACTGAGTCAGAAAGACTAGACTCACCTGTATAAACTCTTAGCTAAGGAGGTAACACCCTTTCTCCACTTATTTCTTAATGAACATAAATATTTTCAATTATATTATTTGTTGCCTCACCATATGTTCATAGTTGGATAATTCTTCTCCCTCTATTTTTTAACTATTACGTATATTTCTTTAATGGTTCTATCATTGATCCACTAATAATAACAAACCCAAATTTAAAAATTCAAAATAAGAATCTGATCTTTTTATGTTCCTAACATCCATGTACAGGATCAAATAGAACAGAAGGAATAGACTATTTATTATGTTGGACCTCAGATATCCAGACACATATTGCTCATGACCCAAGACTCATCCATCACCTGTCATCATCACTGGTCCATGAGACCCACTTTTTCTTAATTCCTTTCTATACTTGTATTGATTAAATCATTAATTCATTGAAAATATTAAAATGACTATAATTCACAAAAACTGAAGAATAAGATGCTTGAATGCCCTTAACTTCTAACTTAGAATCATTGCCAACATAGGTTATATTTCTTTCATTAATCAATCTCAATGCTATGTAATAAATTAATGAATATAATGTTTTATATCATATTTATCAGTTAGCCACAGTGAACCTTTTTATTATACTCTTACTTTTTAATAATTCCATGAACACAAATGACCCAAACCAAAACAAAATTTTTGACCATTACTCTCCTTGTTCCATTTTCCTAACGCAAAAGGAATGTCACGTGACAATCCCGATCCCACAGAAGATGAAATCGGCTCAAGCACCTGTTCTGAAGAGGACAAAACAGAGAAGGGGATGGAAAGGCTGAGCCTTTCTGCTGATCCATGGAGCCCACCATTCATTTATATAATCATTTAAGCCTTTATTAACTTAATGGATATATTTATTTTTACCATAAAAATAAACTTCAAACTTGGACCTAAATCAGAAAATAAATGACTACAAAATTTCATTGTTTATATCAACCTTATCAAAGATATAATACACTTGGTCCCTTTATATCCATTCTAATGTATATTAATACTTTTACCTTGGTATATATTTACCAAAAAATAATACTTCAACCTCCTCAACTTTATTCATTTATACATTTTTTATCCTACCATTAATAGTTTTATAAATTAATTACTAAAATTCATTCACCGTAAAAAAAACACAAAGATCAACAACAAAATCCTTGTTTATTACTGACATCTTTACATAGGATCCCTAAACACAGGAGAAACAGACTAGATTATCTTTGTATCAGATCTGAGTTCCAGACACATAGCATTCATCATATATGACTCATTCGCCACCAGTTGTCATCATTGGTCCAAAACTGGCCCTCTTTCTTTCCATTCTCATAAACATTTATTAATTCATTAATCAAAAAATACACATAAATTAAAATATAAGAGTAAGATCCTTCAACATTCCTAACATGTCTCTATAATATTACAGAGACTAAATCTCTTTCATTAACTGACCTCAGTGTTATATTTATGGATAAGTAAACATAATGCTTCATATGAATCTGGTATTAAACACTGTTATATTTTGCCTTCTTTGATTATATTTAATACTTTTGAATAAATACACTTAAGAGCCCTAAATAAACCAAAACAAAAGCTTTGAGTCTTACTCACGGGGTCTCCATGCTCCTCCAACATAGATGGAACCAGAGGGCTCACGACCTTGGAAGAATGTTACAATCAGCGGGAGTGTGTCCATTCTGAGGAGTACAGAGCAGAGCAGATGATTAAAAAAAAAAAAAAAAAGAAATATTCTTCCATTGATCCTTGCTTTATCTTTCATTTAGTCCGGCATTTAGGAAATCATTACTGGAGAATATTTATTTCATTATCTTTTACAAAAATGAACTACTTTGAACTTCCCAGTGACCCAGAATATAAAAACTGTCTATAATTTGTCCTATCTATATCATCCGAACCAAAGAGGGGACAACCATGTACCATTTATTTCTCTTTGGACTTCAGTGTTTTCAAATTATACTAATAGAACTTCTTGCCTCATATATTTTTAAAATTGGACATTTCTACACTTCACTTTTTGTAATATATTTCCTTATTGATATTTCACTGATCCAATTATAATCAAGAATGGAAATTCATGAAGAGAAAGTCCACATCTCTTTTGTGTTGGACCTCAGAGTTCCAGACACGTATCATTCATCATCCATGATTCATACGCTGGCAGTTATCATCATTGATCCAGAAAGACCGCTTTCTCTTCATTCATTTCTACATTGTTTATTGATTGATTCATTCATTCACTAATTACCATTTCAAACTATACGATTCACAAAACATGAAGAAACTCTTATCCATAGTTATGTATCTAGAATAGATCTAGAATCATTCACACATCACTATATCTCTCATCAGTTATCCTGTTTTTCATAAATGCTTTAATCAATGTAACGCTTCATCTTAATCCTATATTTGTCACTAGGACACAGCTGACCTTCTTTAATTATAATTCACATTTTGTATTAATACAATGAATATCCTTAGCAAAATACCAAACAAGACCAGAAGTTTGACTATTACTCACATTTGTCTCCTTTCTCCCCAGTACAAAAATACAACCCTAAGGCTCTTGATCAGGGGAGAATCCTTAAAGCAGGTCTAACTTGTCCGTCCTGAGGAGTATAAAGCAGAGCATACCATGAAAATAGTCAAGACATTCTCTATTGGTCATTGCTTTTAGCCTTTCATCAAATCCATTATTGGTCAACTATTAATTTGGTGTCAATATTTTTTCTCTTAAGAAAATGAACAACTTTGAATTTACCAATGACCCAGAACATGGGCACTGTCTATGACTTACACTACCTCTGGCATTCTTAGCCATACATGTAAGTCATGTAGCTCTTACTTCTAATTAAACTTCAGAGTTTTCATAGAATGTTAACAGTATTTCTTGCATAATCGCATATTTCTGTAATAGGACGCTACTTCATTACAGTACACTTTATTTATGTTTATTGATTATTTAATTGATCCCATTATAAAAATTGAAAGAAAATGCAGGAACACTAACACCAAAAACAAGATCCTTGTATATCTGGACATGTGTCCATACAGGATCTCTTCAAACAATGAGAATAAGCCAGATTTCTCTTCTGTTGGACCTCAAGAGTTCCAGACATGTATTCATCACATACGACTCATATGCCACCAGTGGTCATCATCAATCCAGTATGCTCCCTCTTTACCTTCATTCACTTCTAATTGTTTATTGAGCAAATCATTAATTCACTAATAATTTTAAATGCTGTAATTCACAAAAACTGAGGAAGAACTTATATAACCCTATTTCTACCTAGATAATTCTCACATCAATATATCTCTTTAATTATCCTCAGTCTCCCATGCATAGATTAATCATCATAATAGTTTATATAGCCCATATTTATCACCGAAAAACAGTGCCTCTTTTCATTATATAGTGTAGTTTTTAATAATACAGCGAATTACCTTAAAAAAAACACATAAACCAAGAAAATAATTTCAACTGTTACGTACATTAATCCCCACCCTCCTATTATAGAGGCAACCATAGAACTCAGGATAATGGAAGATGTTAAATTAGCTCAAGTGTGTCCATTCTGAAAAGTACACAGTAGAGCAAGATAAAAAAAGGATTGAGATATTATGTTCACTGGTCCTTCCATCCCATTTTTAATTTAGTCACTTATTAAGCAGTATATTGCAATAATGAATATTTTATTTTCTCATAAGTAAATGAACAATATCCATCTAGCTAATAAAGAATATGAACATTGACTATTACTTATCAATAATTATATCATCCTCAAAGAACAAGTCCTGTACCATATATTCCCTCATAGACATCAGCATGTTAAATATACACTAATACTATTCATTACCTAACCACATATTTTTTTTTTAATTTTTTTTAATTTTATTTATTTTTGAGAGAGAGAGAAGGACAGAGAGAGAATGAGAGGGGTGAAGGTCAGAGGGAGAAGCAGACTCCCTGCTGAGCAGGGAGCCTGATGTGGGACTTGATCCCGGGACTCCAGGATCATGACCTGAGCCGAAGGCAGTCGCCTAACCAACTGAGCCACCCAGGCGCCCCACCACATATTTTTGTAATTGGACAAGATTTCACTGTTTTCATCTTTATTTATTTATATGTTTGTTTACTGATTATTTCATCAATCCAGTTACAAAAATTGAAAGAAAATGCATGAACATAAGGACCAAAACCAAGATCTTTGTATATTCTTGATATCTGTTTATAGCATCACCTCAAACAGGACAATAAACCAGATTCCATTTCTGTTGGACCTCAGAGTTCCAGACACGTATTCATCGTATCCGACTCATACGCCACCAGTGGTCATCATCGATCCATTATTGTCCCTCTTTTCCTTCATTCAATTCTACATTGTCTATTGACTAATTCATTAAATCACTAGTAATAATATTAAAACCCTATCATTCACAAAAGCCCAAGAAAAGTCATTATATCCTTAATCTGTAAATAGAATCATTCTCACATCAATATATCTCTTTTAAAATTATGCTCTTATTTATTTATGCATAAACCAATATAATGTTTCACAAAATTCAGTATTTATCACTGACCTATTGTTGGCCTTCTGTGATTCTACTGCATGGAACTCTCAAATAATACTGAATACAATGAATAAAATAATCATTGAAACCAAGACAAGAAACTGGATATTACTCACATTGCTCTCTGTGCTTTCAACACAGAAATGCAACCACTTGAGCTCGCCACCACGGAATATTGCTTAAATCAGCTCAAATGTGTCCATTTTGAAACAGGAAAAGCGCAGTCGATGATTAAAAAAATAGAATAAAACTTTTATTTCCATTGATTCTTGCTTTCCACATTTCATTTACTCATTTAGATATCTATGAATATTTCATAACATTGATTTTTTTTCCTTTAACAACAGTAACAAAAATCCTCAAACTTAAGATTGACCCAGAACAATAAAATTGACTCTTAATTGTTCATGTCTAAATGATCATTGACTAAAGAAGTGACATTCTTGATTCATTTAATTCTTAATGGGTGTCAGTGTTTGCAATTTTTATTAATATTTCTTGCCTAAACACAGGTCTTCACAGTTGGACAATTCTTTATGATTTTATATTTATCTGATATTCATATTCTTCAATGATTCTATCCTTGATCCATTTGTAATAATAAATCTAAATCTATGAACGCAGTAAAACTATTATCTTTGTGCTTTCCGAACATCTGTCCATAGGATCAAATAAACAGAGAGAAAGACTATGTAGTGAATTAGACCTCAGCATTCTAGATAAAGAGTATTCATCATCCATAACTCATCTGCCACCAGTCATTATCATAGGTACATAGAAGACCCACTTTTTTTCATTCATTTCTACATTTGTATCAATTCAATCATTAATTCATTGATCACAGTAAAATACATGATTAACAAAAACTAAAGAATCAACAACTTCGGGGCGCCTGGGTGGCTTAGTCGGTTAAGCGGCTGCCTTCTGCTCAGGTCATGATCCTGGAGTCCTGGGATGAAGCCCCAGATCAGGCTCCCTGCTCAGCTGGGAGTCTGCTTTTCCCTCTGACCCTCCCCACTCTTGTGTTCTCTTTCTCTCTCTCTCACTTCCTCTCTCTCAAATAAATGAATAAAAGTTTAAAAAAAAAAATCAACAACTTGAATACTCCTAACTTCTATCTATAGAATAATTGCCAACATAGATTATATTTCTCTCATTAATCAGACTCAGTGTTACATGTTATCAATTAGTCAATATGTTTCATATCATATTTATCATTGGGCCATAAATTACTTTTTGATTATATTTATTAATTTTTGATTATACTGTGAATACCCTTAACCAAATGACCGAAACCAAGACAGAACCTCTATTACTACTCACCTTGCTTTCCTCTCCTAAAACAAAAGCAACATAACAATCTTGATCAGAGCAGAAGATGAAATCAGCAAGAGCATCCATTCTGAAGAGTACCAAGCAGAGAACATGAGAAAAAAAATGAGTCATTCTTCCATTGACCCTTGCTTTACATCTTTCATTTAGTCAGGCATTTAGGAAATCATTACTGGAGAATATTCATTTCATTATCTTTTATAAAAATGAACCACTTCGAACTTCATCAACATTGTCTATAATTTGTCTTATCTATATCATCTGAGCCAAAGAGGGGACAGACGTGTACCATTTATTTCTCTTTGGACTTCAGTGTCTTCAAATTATATTAATAGAACTTCTTGCCTCCTCATATATTTTTTAAATTGGACGTTTCTACAATTCACTTTTTTTACATGTTTCCTTATTGATATTTTATTGATCCAAATACAATCAAGAATGGAAATATATGAAGAGAAAGACCACATCTCTTTTGTGTTGGACCTCAGAGTTCCAGACACGTATCATTCATCATCCATGATTCATACGCTGGCAGTTATCATCATTGATCCAGAAAAGACCGCCTTCTCTTCATTCATTTCTACATTGTTTATTATTTCATTAATTCACTAATTATAATTTTAAAACTGTATGATTCACAAAAACTCAAAAGGGCCTTGATCGCCCTAATATATATCTGGAATCATTCCCACATTATTATACTTCTGTCATATTTATTATCAGTTTTTCATAAATGCTTTAATCAATGTAATACGTCATTTTAACCCCATGTTTAACTAGGACACAGCTGACCATCTGAATAGATTTCATCTTTTTATTACTGCAGTGAATACCTTTAGACACACCACCACCCAAAGCAAGTCAAGAATTTTGTTTATTACTCACATTGGTCTTCCAACTCCTAAAATAGAGATTAACCCCGGAGATCATGATCAAGGAAGAATCCTCAACTCAGGTGCGGTGTGTCTGTTCTGAGGAGTATAAGGCAGAGCAAATGATTAGAAAGGTTGAGACATTCTTTCCATTGGTCTTCGCCTTTGCCCTCTCATGTAGTCAGTCATTTTGGCCACCATTAATTTGGTGTGTGTATTTTACTCCCTTAAGAAAACAAACGTCAAATTTACCACTGACCCAGACGATGAGCATGGTCTGTAACTTATCCTGTCTATATAAGTAACAGTCATGTTACTTATATATATATAGTAACAGTCATGTACAACTGGCTTCTATTGAACTTCAGGGTTTCCATGGAATATTAATAGTATTAGTTATTAATCATTAATAATAAATTAATAAATTAGGTCTTAATTATTGCCTAATAATATCTTTTTATAATTAGACAATGCTTCACTCCCGTCATCATTTTTATTTATGTATTTATTTATAGAATCTCTTATTTATCCAATTGTAATGATACATATAAATGCATGAACACTAAGACCAAAAACAAGATCTTACTATGTTCCTGAAATCTGTCTATTGGATGCCTTCAAATAATGAGAATGTATTAGATTAATTTTCTGTTGGACCTCAGAGTTCCACGTATTCATCGTATCCGACTCATACGCCACCAGTGGTCATCATCGATCCAATATTGTCTCTCTTCTCTACATTATATTCTTTGTATATTGATTAAATCATTGGTTCACTAATAATTTAAAACCCTATTATCCACAAAAACTGAAATGAGTCTTTATGTCTTTAAACTGAATATAGACTTATTCTCACATCAGTATCCTTCATTAATTATCCTCAGTTTTCCATACATGCATTAATCAATATAATGTTTTCTAAAATTCAATATTTATCACAGAGCTACAGTTAACCTATGATTCAATGTGGAATTTTCGAATAATGCAGCAAATGTGCTGAAAAAAATCACTAGAACAAAGATAAGAAATTTGACTTTTACTCACATTGGTCTCTGTGCTTCTGTCCCACAGGTGCTGTCATAGAGCTCACCACCAGGCATAATGCTTGGGTAGCTCGAATGTGTCCATTCTGAAAAGTACAAACCATAGCGAAGGACAGAAAAAAATGATAAAAATTTTATCCGCATAGATTCTTGCCTTCTGCAATGAATTTACTCAATCTTTTAGGAATTCATAAATTTTTCATAACGTAGATCTTCTTCTCTTAACAAAAAGGAAAACATCGGGCGCCTGGGTGGCTCAGCTGGTTAAGCGACTGCCTTCGGCTCAGGTCATGATCCTGGAGTCCCGGGATCGAGTCCTGCATCGGGCTCCCTGCTCGGCAGGGAGTCTGCTTCTGCCTCTGACCCTCCCCCCTCTCATGTGCTCTCTCATTCCCTCTCTCTCAAATAAATAAATAAAATCTTTAAAAAAAAAAAAGGAAAACATCAAACTTGACACTGACCGAGAATAATGAAACTGACTCTTAATTATTCATGTCTGTATAATCCTTGACCAAAGAAGGGACATCCTTGAAACATCTATTTCAAGGACATCAGTGTGTGCAAATTTTATTAGTGTTTCTGGCCTCACCATACTATGTTCATAGTTAGATAATAATTCACCTTTTCTTCTTCATCTATTATTTATATTTCCTTTAATAATTCTATCACTGGTCCATTAATAATAACAAATATAAATATATTCATCCAAGGGGCGCCTGGGTGGCTCATTCGGGTAAGTACCCAACTCTTAATTTCAGCTCAGGTCATGATCTCGGTGTCATGGGATCGAGCCCCATGTCAGGCTCTGCACTGGGCATGGAGCCTGCTTAGGATTCTCTCTCTCCCTCTACCTCTGCCCTTTCCTTCTAAAAATAAGTAAATAAGTAAGTAAGTAAATGAATGAATGAATGAATGAATAAACAAATAAATAAATTCATCCAAAATAAGAACATAATATTTATACATTCCTAACATCTATCCATAGGATCAAATAAACAGAGAAAATAGAATATTTATTGTATTGCACCTCAGGCTTCCAGACACATACTGCCCATTGTCCATGACTCATCCCCCCACCAGTCAACACCACTGATTCCATTAGAGGTTAGTTTATTCACTCGTATATTTGTATCAATGAAATCGTACCTTCATTGGTAATAATAAAATCAATACACGATTAACAAAAACTGAAGGGGCGCCTGGGTGGCTCAGTCGGTTAAGCGACTGCCTTCGGCTCAGGTCATGATCCTGGAGTCCCGGGATCGAGTCCCGCATCGGGCTCCCTGCTCGGCAGGGAGTCTGCTTCTCCCTCTGACCCTCCTCCCTCTCATGCTCTCTCTATCTCATTCTCTCTGTCTCAAATAAATAAATAAAATCTTTAAAAAAAAAAAAATTATAAAAAACTGAAGAATATGATACTTGAATACCCTAACCTCTTCCTATAGAATCATTGCCAAAATAGATCATACCTCTTTCATTAATAAATATAAATGTTACATACTATCAATTAATCAACATAATGCTTATATCACATTTATCATTGAGCCATAGTTAATTTTTCCTTATATTTATTACATTTTAATAATACCATGAAAACCCTTAAGCAAATGACCCAAACCAAGAGAAGAACTTTGACCATTACTCACTTTGGTCTCTTTCCTATAAAAGGGAAACACGGTGACCTTGATCACAATAAAGGTGGAAATAACCTTGGGAGCTTCTCTTCTGAAAAGTACCAAACACAAAAAGTGATAAAAAGATTGAGATATTCTCTCAAATGATCCATATATTTGTCTATTGGTTCTTTCATTTTCAATTATATTAAGAAAAGTAAATGCATGAAGAGAAGGAACACATCACTTTTGTGTTGGACCTCAGAGTTTCAGACACGTATTACTCATCATCCATGATTCATACGCCGGCAGTTATCATCACCGATCCAGAAAAGACAGCTTTCTCTTCATTCATTTTGATATTGTTTATTGACTAATTTACTAATTCACTAATTTTAATATTTAAATTCCATTATTTCAAAACCCAATAAGGCCCTGATATCCCTAATATGCTTCTAGATCTATTTTTACATCATTATATCTCTGTCATTTATCAGTTTTTCACACATGCATTAATCAATATCATGCTTCCTATAAATCTCTTATTTATCAGTAGGATAAAGATGACC